CCCAGCCGCCAGACCCCCACCCCTCCTGGATCGGGTCCGCGGGCCCCGCTGGACCCCATGTCACCCTCGGAGCCAGGCTCCCGCAGACGCCGAGCGCGACTCTCCCAAGCGGACCCTGCGCCCTCTTCTCACCCGCCCCGTCCGGACCCCAACCCCCGATCCCGGACCCGGGGGCCCTGACCCGCCTTCCCGGCCAGACCCTCACCTCCCGGACCTCGGCCCCTGACGCCACCTTCCACGCACTGGTCCGTGACATCCACACCCCGAGGGGTCCCAGCCCGCTCCCCCAGGCGCCCCCGGTCTCCCCACCTTCCTGCCCCGCAGCCTCTGAAACTGCGGAGGTGGACCCGGTGGGAAGTGTCAGGTTCCCGTAGGAGTGTCCTGACTCAGCCCCGGAGCCAGGCTTCCCCCTGGCTCCGCGCGGACCGCGCTCCCCTCTCGGTTCCGGCGTCCCGCGCCGCAGCCTCCTGCCCGATTCCCAGAACTCCTTCCAGATGGTTCTGTTCCAAGGTCTTTCCCGCGCGGCGACCCGCGTCCATGCTGGCATTCTTGGTGCCCCCAAGGCGGGGGCCCCGGGGAGAAGGTTTCCCAGCGCGCGCATCGCCCCGGGAGGCCAGCCCTGGTGTCCTCGCCCAGCTCCCCACCTAGTCCGGCTGCCGCCCTCTCGCCCGCAGACCCCGACTGGGCCTCTTACAAGCTGGGCGTCTTCATCTGCCTGAACTGCTCCGGCGTCCACCGGAACTTCCCAGACATCAGCAAAGTGAAGTCCCTGAGGCTGGACTTCTGGGACGACAGTGTTGTGGAGGTAGCAAGGGGCGCAGGGGGCGGCGGCGGGGGGCAGGGCGCCCCCATTTTACAGGGAAGGACTCAGGCCCAGGGAGAGGCATCACTCGGGAAAGAAAACAGCCTATCAGACCTGTGGCTGAGACAGAGGCCCCGAGTTCAAATCCTGGCGTCCTCACTTGTTTATTTAGGAGGGGGAGGCCCTGAGCTTGGTTTTTTAACCCTAGTTGTGGACCCTCAGTTTCCACATCTGTGTTATGGGGACACCCCGCCACCCCCCTTCACAGGCTGCTGTAAGGATTAAACGGGGCTCAATGCAGGTACAAAGTACCAGTCAGTTAGCAGCTACTGTTCTCATTAGCTGAAGCCTTGGACTGGAACGGAAGCATCCCAGGTCCAGTATCCTGAGTCTGTTCTCGCCCTCCCAGCCCCCCTAGCCAGGAAGGGGTCTACTTGGCTCCGCTGACCTATGGTGATGGAGGACACCTTCAGCCTGGAGGAAAATGCCAATTTGGCCAGGACACCATCTGACAGCAGGCGGCCCTAAACTGTGCTGGTTGGCGGAGGATTTCAGGACTGTTGGGGAAGCAGGCCCACGGTCTCTGAGCGCCCGCTGTGTGCCAGGCACTGTGCTAGACCGCTGGGCTAGATGCTTTACTTATTCCTTCAACACTTAGTTACTGGATGCCCACCATGTGCTGGAGCAGCTAAGGCGAGCAAGGCAAAATCTGTCCACATGGAGCTTACATGCTAGCGTAGAAGGTCAGGAAACTCGCAACCCAAAGGTTATTTGTTTGTGCCGCATACTGTACCTCCAGTGCTGCAGGTGAGCTCCCTGAAGCTCAGGGGTTAAGTATTGCCCCAGGGCGCCCTCCCGTGAATGGAGTGGGCCAGCTGGGATGTGAAGCCCAAGATCCCAAAGCCCCCTGGAAAATCCTGTGTATACAGTGATATAGCTCAGTGGCCCCTGACGGTGGCGGGGGAGGGGGGAAGAATAGGGCTCACTCTATGAAAAACCTGATGTTTTTTCCCACACTGCCCTCACCCAGATATATGCCACTGCTGTTGCTGCGTGCTGACTCTTGGCCCATGTGTCTCTGGGTCTCTCAGGTGTCAAAGAGCCCAGTGATAATCCTGATCTAGAACTCTAGGGGGTCAGCATTGACTTGCGTCTTCAGCTACCTGTACTGCCTACAGACTTGCGGGCACTGTTGCTGGGGGTCCTGGCCAGCTGTGGGGGGGGGTGGTGGTGTGGGGGTAGGAGGAAGAACATGAGCTTTGGAGTTAGACCAGCCTGGGTTCAAATCCCAGCTCTCCATGTACTAGCCGTGTTACCTTGGGTAAATCGCCTAACCTCTCTGAGCCTCTAAAATGGAGATGGTAATATTAAAATGGTTAAGGGGATCAAGTGAACTGTGGTCACTCTGCCTCTATGAGGCGTAGTTGTTCCAGCACCACATTGCTCTGGCCTTTCTAGCAAACGCTGGTATTTTATTTTTTGGTTAATTCTGGTGGGCAGTGTGAAATTCCCCTACGACTGTCTCCTGACTCAGCGGAGGAGCCAGTGAGAACAGCGGCCTTCTGGGTAGACCATGGTTTCATTTCATATTTTGCAAGTTCTAATATTACCATCAAATTGCTGTTGTTTTGCAGTTTATGACCCACAATGGGAACCTCCGTGTGAAGGCCAAGTATGAAGCCAGAGTCCCCGCTTTCTATTACATCCCTCAGGCCAGCGACTGCCTGTGAGTGAGTGCATGATTCCTGGCCCCAACCCCACCTCTGGGTCTTTGCCTGCGGTGGTCTCGTCCATGGGCCTGGTCAGCAGGTGGACCCAGGAAAGGGTTTGGTACTGTTACGGAGAACACATGAGACCTAGTTTAAGCCTTCTCTACCTTTATTGCTTGGGTGGTCAATTCCTCCCTCTGGGACTCAGCTTCCATCGCTCTGAAAGGGGGCATTTTCTCTATTATCTGCCCCATTTGCCTCTGATGTTCTCACAGGTGGTGGCTAACTTGATAGAGAAGAGAAACGCTGGTATTTTATTTTATTGTTCTGTTAATCCTCACCTGAGGATATTTTTTCCCATTGATTTTTAGAGAGAGTGGAAGGGAGGGGGAGAGACAGAAACATTGATGAGAGTCACATTGATTGGTTGCCTCCCGCTTGTGCCCTGACCAGGGCAGGGGATGAAGCCTACAACCGAGGTACGTGCCCTTGACCGGAATCGAACCCAGGACCCCTGAGCAAAACCAGATAGGTCGAAACACTGGTATTTTAATAGAACAAATCTATTTCAGCTACTTCCTATGGAGTGCTATGCTTAGGACTGTCCCAAAGCAGCCGCCTGGGCCCCAGATCCCTAAATATTAACAATAAAAACAATAGTAGCTGCTAGTATTTATTGAGCTTTATCTATATACCAGGCCCTGTGCTAAATAATTACGTGCATTAATTTGTTGAATTCTCTTAACAACCCCATGCGATAAACACTGCCATCACCCCCATGATGTAGATGGAAAACTTGAGGTTTGTAGAGGCAAAGCTGGGACGAGCCCATCTGATACCAGGGTCGGGGTACTGAACCATGACATTGAGAAAATCCGATACAATGAGGGTGTGGGGAGGTCCGGGGAGGATCTGTGAAGCAGTAGGAGGGTTCAGTTGACCTGGAGGCGAGGGTCCGTGTGACACTGGTACCTAGTGACCCCAGACCTCTGCAGATTGACTGCCTGAGCCCGAACCTGTCTCCCAGGGACCCAGCCCCGCCGTCAGGGCTGCTAGACAGCACCTGCGTCAATGGGTGTGTCTGTCCCTCCGAGCAGATGCAACCTCATGGGGACATGGCTTGCAGGAAGCCGGCTGCATTTCAGCTACATTGTCCTCTAGCCTCACAGCAGGATGCTTTAGGACAGGGCACAAATGACACAACCATCCCTGGGGGGCCTGCGATTTCCCAGCGGCCGGGGAGGCACAGCTGTGGACTCGGGAGACCTCCATTCTGTTGCCAAGTCTACCATGACCTGGCTGTGAGACGGTGGACAAGTTACCAAACCTCTCTGACTCGTGGCATCCTCGCCTCTGAAATCTGGGTAATGATGCCTACATCAGAGCGTCGTGGTGGATTAAATGAAATAATTTATGTAAAAACCTCATACACCACCTGAAATGCTAGTTTGTTTGTTTTTAAAATATAGTTTTATTGATTTAAAAGAGGAAGGACGAGAGAGAGATAGAACATTGATGATGAGAGAGAATCATTGATTGGCTGCCTCCTGCACACGCCACACTGGGGATAGAACCGGCAACCCTGGCATATGAACTGACTGGGAATCGAACCATGACCTCTTGGTTCAGAGGTCGACACTCAACCACTGAGCCACCGCATGCTGGCTGGGCTGAAATGCTAATTTTAATCCATTTCTCAGTGTCAGCTTCAGAATGCTGCCTAGTGCCTGGCCCCGCAGAGGGATGTGTCAGGCCTGAGGGCCTGATCCTCTCGCCTCATCTCTTCCACTTAGCCCTTGGCTCCAAGGGGAAGGGAACGAGCACTTGGTGAGCACCTACTGTGTGCTAGGCCTTCTGCCCACACTACACAGACACTGCTTGTCATGACTCTAACAACAGGCCTGTGCTTTAACTCCCTTTAGCTGAATACTAATGGCCTCTTCCCTCCTATCCTAAAAGTCCTCTAAACTCCCCACTCCCAGCACCAGGATTGGGGCCTCAGTCTCCATTGCCTCTCCTAGCTCTGATCCTGTGGCTCAGGGTTCCTCAATGTCCTGGTGAGGACTGTGCATTAGGTAGGACTCTTTGTTGTCGTCGTCATATGATCTTTAATTGAAATATTTCCCTTTGTAGTTTTTTTTTTTTAAATATATTTTTTTATTGATTTTTTACAGAGAGGAAGGGAGAGAGATAGAGAGTTAGAAACATCGATGAGAGAGAAACATCGACCCTTTGTAGTTCTTAACTGGCTAGGCATTCCACGGCACCTCTGTTGATGTCATCTATGATGTCATGAGGGTGGTGGCCAATAGCATTGCAGCCCACAGACAGGGCAGTCCCCAGGATCTCTTTAATGGTTCAAGAGAGCTCTCTAGCTAAAGGTCGGTGCCGCATCTTCGGGCAATGTTGACGGTCTCATCAAAAGTGGTATTTCCACTGTGCTTCCTGTCTTCTTGCTTCCTTCTGTCTCATGGTGGTTCTTTTGAGGCCTTTGATGGTCAGGGCAGAGGCCCTAAGTCTGGGCCTGTCTGTTCTGAACGGACAGTTTCACTGTGACCCGCAGACCCTTCCGATCACTGCCCGAGGCTGCTTTGACAGTGCCACCATCAGTCTTTTCTGGAGATGGACGCAGGGGGCTGATCTTGGGGGCCAGGGCGGAGTTGGCACTGACTTCCCCACCGCTGCACCTCAGATAGATGACTTTGACCTCCTTGGGGTCAAACTTGGGCAGCCTGACGGAGGCGGCTGGTGTCTGTCAGGTGACCCCAGATCGGGAACAACTGAAGAAAGTTGCACCCAAGCCTCCTCCAAGGCAAACGCCGAAAAGCTAGATAGGACTCTCGATGGTAAGTGACAGAAACCCAGTTTAAACCAGCTTAGAAAGAAGATGCTGTGGGTTCTGGGGACCAGGCTGCAGGGAGGACAGAGGTGGAGCCGCCCCAGGAAGGACAAGCCAGGACAAACACCAGCAGCCTCTCTGGCTCTCAGTCCCGCTTCTCTCTCTCAGCCGGGCTTCTTCATGCAGCTGGAGCCAGACCACGGCTAGGTCCCAGCTCCAGCTCCCAGTTTGATCCCAGAGAGCGCTTCTAACTCACCTCCCTTCTCAGTCTTGCTCCTTTTGGTCCACGCGGCCCTGGGCAGAGCTCTGATTGACCAGTTAGGCCAGGTGCCCAGCTCTAGCCCATTCCCTGTGGTTGTGGGGAAAAGGTCACAGAAACCTCGGACCCGGATGGTGTGGCTCAGTGGTTAAATGTCAGCCTATGAACCAGGAGGTCATGGTTTGATTCCCAGTCAGAGCACATGCCTGGTTGTGGGCTCAATCTCCAGTGTGGGGTGTGCAGGAGGCAGCCGATCAATGATTCTCTCTCATCATTGCTGTTTCTATCTGAGAACCAACTGATTGAATTAAGTCTCCTTTTTGGCTGCATGGTTTTTCTGCACGGGGTCATGGAAGACAGTACCCTGATGGGGCTAACATCAAACCACCCGGCTCTGTGCTGAGCATGGCTCTACGCCCTTTATATACATTTAAAGGCTACCCTTAAGGGGTCGGGTAGGGAATAATATTATTGGGATATTCTCAAAGTTCAGAGGCAGTCCTCGGGCTACGTCGGACTCCGACGTACGTCGTTTCGTGGTATGTGGCATCTCCCACTTTATTTATTAAAAAAAGTTCCATCATTTCGATGTATGTACATATGTGCTTTATGTTTCTTATTATTTATTTACCACAAGTAAAGGTCAGGAATTGTTATCTTCCTTTTAATTTTTTTTTTTTTTTTTTTACTGTTTCACTTCATTACTGCTGTGTATGTGTTCCATGTGAGTGACGTAGGTGGGTTCCCACTTACGGCGAAAATTGCGTTACGTCGCTGTAGGAACGGATCTCCGACGTAACCCGAGGACCTACTGTATCTTGTTCTTGATCACACAGTGGATAAATGGTCGAGTGGGACCAGATCCCAGATGGTTAGACTCCAAGACCACTGCTCCGTCCGGTGTGCCATGCCCCGAGTTCATGGGCAGGCCCAGGAAGAGGCTGCTGGCCTCCTGGCCTAAGCTGGGAGCATGCAGTGGAGGAAGCAGTGGAGGCGGCAGTGGAGGCGGCAGTGTAGACGATCCAGAGGAGCTGGTGTCAGTCTCACTGACCTGGAGGGCCGGGCTGGCATCAGAATAGCCCAGAGGTTTTCGTACAGCCCACTGGGGGATATGGTTCCCCCAGGAGACACTGGCAGTGTCTGAAGACATTTTGGGGTATCACCGGGGAGGAAGAGCTACTGGCATCCAGAAGGTGGAAGCCAGAGATGCTAGCAAACATCCTACAGTGCACAGGACAGTCCCCACAACAGAGCTGTCCAGCCCCAAAGGGTAACAGCAGTGCGGCTGAGAAGCCCTGGTAGCCTGAGCAGGCAGCGAGGCCGCTGTGTGACGCTCCCGCCTGCAGCTGCGGGGCCTCAGACAGTTACTGTGGGCAGAGCACGTATCAGACACAGCTGACCGGAGGTTCTCTCTTTCTAGGGTCTTAAAGGAACAGTGGATTCGAGCTAAGTATGAGAGACAGGAGTTTATGGCCGATGGGAAAACCATCTCACTCTCAGGTACGGTTAATTTTCGTCACCTTGCGAGGTCTCTGTTGCAGCAGGTTCTAGAAAACAAAGTGCCTGATTCTTAGAAGCGAGGTCCAGCCAAGAGCTATCTGCTGCCCTCACTCTGGCCACAGAGGCCCAGGCATGGGTTCCTCTGCCTCTGAAATGGCAACACAGCAGTTGGTGGGGTTTGCGGTCTGAATGGACAGGAAGCATGTTTGCACGTCTTTACGGGGCCGCAGGGGTGTAGAGTGCTTCCTGTGAGTTGCAGGGAGGCTCACCCACCAGGAACACACCCCTGCGCCTGGCTCCTGTAGCCCCCGGTGTGGCACAGGCTCGGTAAGGGGCATGGGCCGGATGCCGCCCTCCTTCATGCCCTTGTGCAAGGCACAACCTCCTCGGTGGCCCTGGACCTGTGGCTGACACCGACCCGGAGGGCAAAGTGCACAAAACCACTCTGAGGATCAGAGGCAGCCAGTGCTCAACGCTCCCAGCTCCCAGGAGCACCTGGCATTCTCCAGCCGCAGGCGCCTAGAGGGCATGCGTTACTCCTGCGCTCTGGAGAGCGCCCCCAGGCTGATGTCCACGGGAAATCATCGGTACAGTGTCTCAGTACTTAGCCTACGTAAGGGTGTACTGTGCCTTCTTAAGAAACAGCCAAGGAAGAACATTGGAAATTTGGCCCCAGATAGGACCCCCGTGCCCCGCATCTGAAATAGCCACGTTCGTTAGATGTGAGACAGTTTAGCAGCCGGCGGGAGGTTCATTGTACCCCGAGACCCTATGAGGATTGTGAGCTGCTTGTTTGTCTTAAGGCGGTGGGTGCTCACTCTTTGTCGTCCTCGGTGGCTCAGGTAACCGGGAAGGGTTCCTGTGGAAGCGGGGCAGGGACAACGCGCAGTTCCTGAGGAGGAGATTTGTCCTGTTGGCAAGAGAAGGCCTTCTGAAGTACTACACTAAGGAAGAGGTAAGAGGCCAGACCCGGCAGGGGTCCCCTCCCGCGCACTGGGCTCTCACCCACCGAGGTCTGCTCTTTAATCAATAGTGACTTGTTTTGTGGGTGATCTCAGGCCCCACATCCCATTTTCCCTTGGTGATACAATCAGTCCAGCCCACTAAAACACACCTTCTGCTCACTTACAACAGTGGTTCTCAACCTTCTGGCCCTTTAAATACAGTTCCTCATGTTGTGACCCAACCACAAAATTATTTTTGTTGCTATTTCATAAGTAATGTTGCTACTGTTATGAATCGTAATGTAAATATCTGATATGCAGGATGGTCTTAGGCGACCCCTGTGAAAGGGTCATTTGGCCGCCAAAGGGGTCGCGACCCACAGCTTGAGAACCGCTGACTTAGAATAAGCTTTGACTGGTGCATGAGTAAGCCTTTGATAATCACTTGATTTGACTTCATTTCTTCATACACGCAAGGGATATTTATTGAGCACCTACTATATGCTAGACATTATTGTAGGCACTGGGGACACAGCAGTGAACTAAACAAAGCTCCTCTTCTCTCGGAGCTTTCATGCTAGTGGAAGGAGACAGGTGGTGATCAAACAACATCAACATATGATATATCAGGTGGCAGGAAGTGCTAAGAAGGGAAATAGATGAGATTGTGAGGGAGTGACCAACAGAAGGCTCTGAGCACTTGGCCTTCACCTTGCTCGGTTTCCTACACGTAGAAATTACTGTGTATTTCCCCTGTTGCTTTCCTAGATGGACCTGTGCGATGCATGGCCGCAGTCTAGGGCCAAGTGAAAAATGGTGAGGGATGAAGAGTATTTATCCTCCAAGTGCGAGTAGGGATTTCTTTTTCTCTTTTTAAATATCTTTTTATTGATTTCAGAGAGGAAAGGAGAGGGAGAGAGAGAGAGAAACATCAATAATGAGAGAGAATCATTGATTGGGTGCCTCCTGCACGCCCCCTACTGGGGATTGAGCTTTCAACTGGACATGTGCCCTTGATTGGAATTGAACCTGGGACCCTTCAGTCTGCAGGCCGATGTTCTATCCACTGAGCCAAACCAGCTAGGGCAAGAGTAGGGATTTCTTATTAGTCTTCAGTTTAAAGACCTGAAAAATGGTGCAGGCACAAGAGGCAGGAAGAGAAAGTGGAGCAGAGTTAGGAGGGGCCACTGAACCCCAGCAGCCGCTGGGGGCTGGTCTCCTGGAGAGCCTCATTTTTGGTTGGGAAAAGTGGATCCTTCTCTCAGTCCTAAGCCTGTTTACTCTAAAACAGTCTAAAAATAACACAAGTTGCCTTTGGTCTTTTTAATTTCTTTCCCCAAAAAAGGAAAAATTTTAACTTATAAAGGTAACTCATTTTTATGTAAAACTTTGGGGTAATACAAGAAAGTAAATAAAGTGTAAAGAAAGTGAAACTCAAAAGATATCTCAGCATAACAAAATGTTGATACTCAGAACATATTTAAAAAAAAACACACAACAACCTACAAATCAAGAAGAAAAAGACAGTCCATTAGAAAAATGGCAAAGCAAATGGACTGGCCTTTTATAGAAAAGGAAACCAAAAGGCCTGATGAGGGTAAGAAGAGACGCTGATGTCTCTGGCAGTCAGGGAAGTGCAGACCAAAACCACAATGAGATGCTGCACACCCACCATAATGGCGAAAATTAAACAGGCTGACAACACCAAGCATTGGCGAGGATGTGGAGAAACTGAAACTCTCATCCATAAATAATACAACCTCTTTGGAAAGCAATTTGGCAATTTTATTTTTTAAAAAAATATATTTTTATTGATTTAAGAGAGGAAGGAAGAGGGAGAGAGATGGAAACATTAATGATGAGAGAGAATCATTGACCGGCTGCCTCCTGCATGCCCCCCACTGGAGATCGAGTCCACAACCCGGGCATGTGCCCTAGACCGGAATGGAACCTGGGACCCTCCAGTCCACAGGTCGATGCTCTATCCACTGAGCCAAACTGGCTAGGGCATTGGCAATTTTACATAAAGTTAAATGTATACCTAACCACACAACCCAGCCATTCCACTTCTAGGTGGAACAAAAACATAAATCCAAAAAAAAAAAATGTTCATAGAAGCTTTATTTATAATAGCCCAAACCTGGAAAGAACCCAAATGTCCATCCACAGCTGAATGAATAAACAAATTGTACTCAGCAATAAAGGGGGACAAGCTACTAAAAAATGCAATAAGGTAGATTAATCTAAAAATATTATTCTGAGCAAAAGAATTCTGAGCAAAAGAAGCCTCATACAAGAGTATGTTCTACATAATTCCATGTATAGGAAATTTTACAACAAGCAATAGAAAGTAGGTAAGTGATCGCCTGGTGTTGAGGTGGGGTGGATGGGGATGGACTGTAAAGGGGCAGAGGAAACTTTTGGGGTGACAGTGATGTTGAATCTCTTGATTGTGGTCGTGGTTACAAGGGAATATATGCTTGTCAAAATCAAACTGTACTCTTAAAATGAGTACCATTTTTTTGTTTATCAATTATTCCTCAATATAGCTGATTAAATGAACACAGTGAGGCCCAATTTCAAGTCCATCATATTGGCAAAAATGTTAAAAATTGGCAATGTCAAGTGTTAGTGAGAATCGCGGGGAAGGGGAACCCTTCTTTGTTTTAGTAGGTTCCTACTATGCATCCTGTTTTGGGACTTGGTATTTCTCATGGATTTCATACTAGTAATATTGATCTAAATTAGTTTTTTAAATTTACTTTAAAATATATTTTTATTGATTTCAGAGAGAAAGGGAGAGGGAGAGAGAGATAGAAACATCTATGATGAGAATCATGGATTGGCTGCCTCCTGCACGCCCCTACTGGGGATTGAGCCAGCAACCCGGGCATGTGCCCTTGAATGGAAATGAACCTGGGACCCTTCAGTCTGCAGGCCGATGCTCTACTATCCACTGAGCCAAACTGGTGAGGGCTAAATTAGTCTTTTAAAAATGTTTGTGGTATTTCATTGTGTGGATGTACCATGATTTAAGTATATAATGGACATGTAAAACACTTCTTTTTCTGCTAGTATACCAGTAAGTAACATGGCAATAAACATCTTTGGCATGCATGTTTGCACAGAAATGCAATTACTTCCTTGGGGTGGATTCTTAGATGCAAAATTGTGAGTCAAAGCAGAACACTCAGCATGGTAATAGATATGACCAACTTTCCCTCTAGAGAAGACTGTTAATAGACTTTCTTCAGTTCTATGCCTGCCCTGTTCAATACCCTAGCCACTAGCCCTAGCTGGTTTGGCTCAGTGGATAGATCGTTGGCCTGTGGACTTAAGGGTCCTGGGTTCGATTCCTGGTCAAGGGCACATACCTTGGTTGCAGGCTCCATCATGGAGCCGTGTACAGGAGGCAACCAAACGATGTATCTCTCTCACATCGATGTTTCTCTCTCTCTCTGTCGCTCCCCCTCCCTTCCACTCTCTCTAAATATCAATGGGGAAATGTTCTTGGGTGAGAATTAACAACAACAACAAAATACCCTAGCCACTGGCCTCGAGTGGCTACTTGAGCATTTGAAATGGGGCTGAGTAAAGAACTGAAGTTTTATTTTATTTTTTTCTTGTCTTTTTAAAAAAAATTTTTATTGATTTCAGAGAGGAAGGGTAGAGGGTGAGAGATAGAAACATCAATGATGAAAATCATTGATCAGCTGCCTCCTGCATGCCCCCTACTGGGGATCAAGCCCACAACCCAGGCACGTGCCCTTGACCGGAATTGAATCCGGGACCCTTCAGTCTACAGACCAATGCTTTACCCACTGAGCAAACCAGCCAAGGCTATTTTTATTTATTTATTTATTTTTATTTTTTATTTTTTTCAAAATATATTTTATTGATTTTTTACAGAGAAGAAGGAAGAGGGACAGAGAGTTAGAAACATCGATGAGAGAGATCGATCCGCTGCCTCCTGCACGCCCCTACTGGGGATGTGCCCGCAACCAAGGTACATGCCCTTGACCGGAATCGAACCTGGGACCCTTCAGTCCACAGACCAACGCTCTATCCACTGAGCAAACCAGCCAAGGCTATTTTTATTTAAATGCAATAGGCACATGGGTCAATGGCTCCCCCAGCTCCCCGGTGTTTGTTATAATTTTTCTCTCTTACGGATTTTGAAGGAAAGCACTCTTTTCTCTCCCCTGCTCAGCATGAATCAGTGATTGCACTGTTTCAGAACCCTGAGACCAGCCAGTACCCCACATCTGCTTTTATCTGCTTTATTTTATTGGGTGGCTTCCACAGATGACTTGCTTCAGAGAAACTTCCATGGCTAAAATTTTGAAAAGTCCTGCGTTAAGGCCTTTCCAAGCCCCATTCCAACTCGAGAGGCCAGGCCGAGTAAGCAGGAATGGTGGGATGGCTGAACACAGGACAGCAGGAGCATCCGTGTGTCCTAATATCAGAGCAAGAACAGGGAAAACCCATGGAAAGTTACAGGCTGGTTATCTGTCTGCTCGAGGCCTTGGTGAAGGAGATAAGACGACTCCCTGCGGACTGTCTGTCGGCATCTTGAGTATCCATTCCCTCTCTTTCAGGGTAAAAGCCCCAAAGCTGTCATCCACATCAAGGACCTGAATGCCACCTTCCAGACGGAGAAGATAGGCAACCCCCACGGGCTGCAGATCACCTACCGGAGAGAGGGCCACATCAGGAACCTGTTTGTGTATCACGAAAGCGGCAAGGTGAGCTGCCTGGCCTCGCACCCCAGGGCTCTGCAGGCCCAGCGACTAACCCTCTTGAGATCTGCAGCTACTGTTTGCCTAAACCTAGCGTCACCTTCTGGTCAGAGATAGAGGTGTGAGGAAGGCAGAGTGAGATCAGAGAGAGGAACCTGACAGGTAGAGTGGGTGTGTGTGGACGGTTCACGTCCACCAAGGGGAGTCCATCAGCAGAAGGACTGTGCCCGGGGATGGCGAGTCCAGGTGGCACCAGGATCCCGACTACGGGAGGAGGAACGGAGAGAAGATCCGGCAGCAGTGCACTCTGGGGCCTTGCTTCTCGACGTGTAGGCCCACCCTGGACCTACTGAATTAGAAACTGCATTTTATTTTAAAATTTTTACTATTTTTATTGATTTCAGAGAGGAAGGGAGAGGGAGAGAGAAACATCTATGATGAGAGAGAATCATTGATCAGCTGCTTCCTGCATGCCCCGCGTTGGGAATCAAGCCCACAACCCAAGCAATGTGCCCTGACCAGGAATCAAACCATGGCCTCCTGGTTCATAGGTCGACGCTCAACCACTGAGCCACGCTGGCCCCCCACGAGCTGCAGAAATTGCATTTTAATAGGATCCGAAGGTGATACTTATGCACATTAAAGTTTGAGAAGCACAACTTAAAGGTCCAGGAAATCAGACCCTGGCTCTCATTCAGTCCATGGTGGGCTCTCTCTGTTGCTCAGACTGGCTGGACACTGGTGGCCACCCCCCCACCCCCACCCCGTGCCAATCACTGCTACGAGGACTTTCGCTGCGGTGCCCAAGGTCTCTGACATTTATGGTACCTGACTCCTTCCCACTTGCCCTATTGTAGAGCATCTGACAACCTAGGTCTGGCCATTCTGCTCTTTCCCTTGATACCCCAGTTTCTCCACGAGATGGGCATAAGCGAGGGGCCGCAAAGTCACGCCAGCAGGAGGCAGGCAGGTGATCTGAAGGTGACGTGGACAGCTGTGAGGCTGTGGCAAACAGGAAACCTGTGCAGAGGATTGAAACAAACAAAACTGCAGGAGCCAAACAAACCGAATGCAGGTTGGATTTGGCCCCAAGGTGTGACTGGAGAGACCTTCCAAAGTGAAGGCCTAGGCCGGGTCTTTCCTGGGACGGGCCCATTCCCTTAGTGCCCGAGACACACAAAGGTTTGTAACTCCCAGGATGAGAGAGAGAGCTTAGAACTCTGAACAAACCTGGGAGAGACAAAGGGTAATTATGTTTCATTCTTTCAAAATCATATTCAAATGAATTACTCAATCACCCAGTTACATCAAAGTGCGGCACTGCAGCTACCTGAACAAGTCTTTCTGCCTCCCAATTCCAGATTCCTGGGAGAAAGCATTTCATAAGCCCCGTCCAGCATTGGTCCAGCCCTGGCCCAGCTGCTGTGGCCAAGAAGGGGCGGGATCATCGCAGCAACTGTGGCTGGGCGGTGGGTGGGTGAGAATGGGTGGGGCAGTTCTCATGGAGGCAGGGCTTGAGCTGAGCAAAAATCTATGTCAACCTCTAAACTAACCTTCAGGATGAGTAGAATGTTCTAGGCCAGCGGTTCTCAACATGTGGGTCGCGACCCCTTTGGGCAGGGGTCCTCAAACTACGACCCGCAGGCCACATGCGGCCCACAGAAAACATTTATCCGGCCCGCCGGGTGTTTTTGCCGCTGCTGCCTGTTGCTGAATTTGTTCATACTTTTTTTTTAAACTATAGTCCGGCCCTCCAACAGTCTGAGGGACAGTGAACTGGCCCCTGTTTAAAAAGTTTGAGGACCCCTGCCTTTGGGGGTCGAACGACCCTTTCACAGGGGTCGCCTAAGACCATCGGAAAACACATATATAATTACATATTGTTTTTGTGATTAATCACTATGCTTTAATTATGTTCAATTTGTAACAATGAAAATACATCTTGCATTACGATTCATAACAGTAGCAAAATTACAGTTATGAAGAAGCAACGAAAATAATTTTATGGTTGGGGGTCACCACAACATGAGGAACTGTATTAAAGGGTCGCGGCATTAGGAAGGTTGAGAACCACTGTTCTAGGCCATCCGTATGCGTGGGTGAGGGCAGCGAGGTGGATGAGGCATAGAGTTCCAGGAGGAGCGAACAGAATGTGTTGAGATTGCAAATGGCTTTGTATGGAAGGAACTCAGAGGGCAAAGTCAGTCAGACCAAAGAGCGTAGATTTTCTTCTTGAGGGTTGTGGAGAGGACTCGATCTTGGACTCAAGAGACTTGCAAAGCGAACATCACTCTGGCTGCGGGCGGGGAGGACTAATCAGGGAGCAGCAGAGCAGGGGCAGAGCCAGCTGGTGAGCTGTCCACCTGGTGAGAGGTGATGGTGCCCGCACAGCTGAGCAGTGCATTCTCCTGGAGTGACAGCAGAAGGTCCAAGCTGGCTTCGGCCTACGCTGCCCTCCAAGCAATGAGCACCCCCAGTGGAGGAGCACCCCCAGGTGCCCATGCCCCCACCTGAAAACCGGTCTTTGACATCTGAGTGAGAACTTTTTTTTTAAAATATATTTTTTGTTAATTTCAGAGAGGAAGGAAGAGGGAGAGAGAGATAGAAACATCAAAGATGAGAGAGAATCATTGATTAGCTGCCTCCTGTACGCTCCCCACTGGGGATCAAGCCCATAACCTGGGCATGTGCCCTTGACCGGAATTGAACCTGGGACCCTTTAGTCCACAGGTCAACGCTCTATCCACTGAGCCAAACCGGCTAGGGCAGTGAGGACTCTTGCTCCTCAAAGTGTGTCCTACTGACCAGCATCACATCGCTGATTGCTAGGAATGCAGACTCTCAGGCCCCACCCCAACCCACTGAGCCCACAGCTGCCCTGTAACAAGATCCTCAGGGACTCGTACACCGGTGAGAAAATGTTAAGGACTGTCCTCGGCCATTGCATAACTCCCATGCAGTTCACTGGGCCTTTCCCACGGCTCCAGACCTCCCTGCCAGTGGCTTCCACTTGCTCAGGTGAGGCCTGGGCGCCCCCCTCCCGCCCCCGGGGCTCTGGTATTGTTCCCCAAGCTGCCTGTGATCAGCCCACAGGCCCCTCAGTGGAACTGGGGGAATGTGTGTGTGTGGAATGCCCGTGCACAGACCTGAAAACCTTGCTAGCTTCCTGCCACCACTCTCAGCCCTCCCCCTCCCCCACCCCCATCTCACCGGCTGTCCATTTGTCCTTTGCCTTTTTCTCTGCAGGAGATAGTGGACTGGTTCAATGCCCTCCGCGCAGCCCGTCTGCAATACCTAAAGGCGGCCTTTCCTGAGCTCCCAGAGTCTGAGGTGAGCTAACAGTGGACCCCAACCTCCGAGTCTCCTCTCTGCCACCTCCTCTCCTTGTCTGCTGACCTCGAAAGACACTCAGAGGCCAGACTAGGTTGGTTTGTAGGCAAGACCTTGAGACTTGGGGTTGGGAACCTCCGAGGGCAACCAAAGGCTTCCTCCTGGGGAGGCTGGGGGTAAGGGCCTCACCCGTAGCGAGGCGGCCTCCGAAAGGCAGGCCAGGCTCTCCCCTTCGGGTGTCAAAGGGCTCAGGATTCGGGCATTTCTTCCTGACCCGTTCCCCTCTACAAGGTGCACACGATCCCCGCCACACTGCTTAGAAAGTGCTTTAGAGCCCCTTTATCTCGTAATTCCTTTTATCTCGTAGTCCTGTAGCAGGCAGTGAGGTGGGGGTGACTGTTCCCATTTTGCTGATGAGACACTGAGTCCCAGGAAGGTCAAGTGGATAATCAGATGTGCTCTTCCCACGCTCACATCCCCCTTGCCCTTCATATTCTGGTCTTGGGAAGGCAATTCCCCATTACAATTCTGGCAGGAAAATCTGCCTCCCATGGCCAAGGAGCGGGTGAGCCCTTGAACTTCGTGTTGATTGTCTCCAGCCGTCTGGGGCATCCTGTGCCTCTCTCAGGCTTGGCTGGGGAAGCGGGCTGTGTGGGGCAGAGGCTGCTGCCTGGAGCCAGGGAGGCCTGGGCTCTCATGGATGCTCTGTGGCTGACCGGCTGTGTGACCCACCTCTCTGCACACCTGTTTCCAGATCTGTAAGATGGCACTTCATCGAGCTCATCTTCAGGGCCCCTCCCAGCTTCGAGGTGCTATGATCGGGTGTTTAGTTTAGGCCCTACACTACGAGGATTTTGTAAGTGATGGGCTGTCTTATTCCAAACTGGTAGGTCCTCCTTGAAAACCTAAACACTCCTTCATTCCAGACTTTTCAGGGAGCCAAGTGCCTGGGATGGGGGTCCACTCCAGGCCCAGTGATGCACCGAGATGGTGACCCTCTGAAAGTGGCCGCAGCCGCCTGGGTCAGGGTGCTCCGGGTCTGCAGACGCAGCACCCAGAACTGGCGAGTGCAGGGTGCTGGGGGCAGGGTGCTGGGGTGCTGGCTGCTGACTGGAGAGCAGGGAAGGCAAAGTGCAGATGCTCGGCCGGCCGCCTGGATCTGAGCTAGCGCTCCAACTTTGCTGACCTCTGCAGAGGAAATTGGTCGTTGGCCAACATCCTCAATGTCCTCGCGCCTCCCTCATCTGCATGACTACCCCTATGTGCCCATCTCCCCCCTGCCTTTCCTCCTCTATGTCTGTGTGAGGTCCTGGGCAGTCACTTAGGCATCCAGATGCCAGGAGCCTGGGTGTCCTCGTGGGGTTTTGGTCCTGTGCTGAGGATGCATGGACTGAAGCCAGGGAAGCTGTGTGACTAGGACAAGTCCCCTTACCTCTCTGAGCCGCAGCCTGCTCATCTGTCACCATGGGGACAACACCTACCTCCCAGGGCTATTGTGAGAATCAGGTGAGCCAAGGCATCTGAGGTACAGTGAACAGTACTCCATCCCCGTGTCTTTCCTCCTGCGAGGTGTTTCCCTCGGCCTAGACTGGCCCTGCCTCGGCTCAGGTTCAGACTGTTGAGCAGAAGGGACTCTGTTTTTTTCTGCAAATGAAGGGATTAAAGTCTGTAGAATATGTTTTAGGGGAAGGGAAGTTGTATAGTTTATATTTTTGGGTTTGGCTCACAATTTTCTCCATTTCAGACTTCCTATTCCTATTCCCCAGATCTCACTTCCTCTTTGCCTCTGCCCTGGAGCTCTGGAAGCCCCCTTCCCCCCCCCCCCAGAGGGCTGGGCTGTGGTCGGAAGCCCTAGGCTTGCCAGGTTGACCCCCTGGAGCACAGGAGGTCAGCATCAACCCCTGGAGGCGTCTCTGGGGCAGCAGGGCAAGCTGCAAGGGACCCTGAAGATCACGTCCTCCCGTCTCCTGATTGCAGGGAGGGAAACAGGCTGAGAGGAGGCAGGGTTTACCAGGGGACACGGCTAGTTGAGGTCAGAACTGGAGCTAGAACCCAGGTCTCCTGACTCCTGGTCCAGAGCTTTCTCTACGTTCCCACTCTGCTGTCCCCTCCTTGGGGCCCTGTGTCAGAATCCCCACCCATGACCAGGTCTTGGCCAGGGGCCCGGTGAGAGGCGTGTTTATACTCTGGCATCACAGGAGGACCACGTGTGTCTGTCTGGTGTCCACCAGCCCTAGGTGTGAATCCCAGATCTCCATCCTCCCGGCAGGGTGACTTTGGGAGTACCCTTGACCACTGTACCATTATAGTGATAATTCCTACCACCTCACGGGGTGGCTGAGAATTGCTCCCAGAGCCTGATACACACTAGACCTATAGGGGACCCTGACAGGAGGGTCTCCTCAGAGCCTCGTCTGTGTCCACCTCCTGGGGGGGGGGGTTCGGAGCATTCCTTAAGTTCTTCAACCAAGACTCAGCTGTGTTGGGAAGCCCCGCACACATCTGGCTCTGTTGAAATATTAATATTGCATCCACACCACGTTCCAAATATAACCCCGTGAACCACGCGCACACACATCCTTCCCCATTCCAGACTTCCCCTTTGTGCACAGCCAAGTTCAGTGGGGAGCCTGACCCCCGACCCCCCGGGCTGTGAGTCGGGGGGTCAGTGCGTGTCTCTTTTTCCCCAGCTCGTGCCCCTCATCACCAGGAACTACCTCAAACAAGGCTTCATGGAAAAGACTGGTCCAAAGGTACATTCTCCGGGTCCCTGGGGGCTTTCCTGGCCCCTGGCCCAGCGGGCAGGCGGGCAGAACGTGGGAAGTGGGACAAGGAGGGAAGTAGACCAATGTGTGTGAGTTCCCGGGGCCAAGGACCAAGGGGCCAGCTGGCCAGTGTTGCTGCAGGTGCCTCTCCCTGTCACCGGGCATCCTCCCTCCTTATCAACACCACCCTCCACTGCTTTCCTCTTAACCCCCCTAAACGACCCTGCTCCTGGGAAAGCAAGGGACTCCTTGGGGACCAGCTTTTGCCTTTTCCACAACCGGGCGCTCTGTGCTGGGGCCCTGCTGGGGCGTCCACGTGAGTCAGGGGCCGGAGATTAGCCTGAGAAGTCACAGCTGTGCACCGTGCTTGGCACGTGGGCACGGCCCTCCCAGCACAAGCACCGCCTCCGCTCCCATTTGCAAACCAGTCCTAACCCCTCAGCGGCTGCTTCTTCCCACTTGCCCGCGAAGGAAAGGGAGGGCAGTGGAGGCTCCTGCTGCCTGAGGGCACCTCAGACCCAGACAGCGTAAAGGTGGGGTGAGGCTCAAAGTCAGCAGTCTGGCTGGAGCGGGTGCGGTGGCGTGAGGAGAGAAAGGGGGGATGGAGGAGGAGAAGAGAAAAGGAAGGGAAAGCAGGAGCTCCCTAAAGACACTCCCAAAGCGGCGGTATCACAGGCTTTTTTTTTTTTTAAGGTGTGATATGTTGCCAGGATGGTGGTTAAAACTACCAGGAAAGCCTTAGCTGGTTTGGCTCAGTGGATAGAGCGTCCGCCTGCGGACTGAAGGGTCCTGGTTCAATTCTGGTCAAGAGCACATGGCCGGGTTGTAGGCTCGATCCCCAGTGGGGGCGTGTACAGGAGGCAGCCGATCAATGATTCTCTCTCATCATTGATATTTCTATCTCTCTCTCCCTCTCCCTTCCTCTCTGAAATCAATATAAATATATTAAAAACAAACAAAACTACCGGGAAAGGTGTTAAGCAATCAATGTGAAAGGAAGCCTGAGTGAGCTTGAGAGCTAGTCAGAGGGTTGCACACTTTGTTTCCTTCTTTTTTAAAGATAATTTTTTAAATTGATTATATTGATTTCAGAGAGGAAGGGAGGGGGAGAGAGAGGTGGAAACATCAAGGATGAGAGAGAATCATTGGTTGGCTGCCTCCTGCACGCCCCACACTGGGAGTCAAGCCCTGACCAAGACCCCGACCAGGAATCGAACCGCGACCTCCTGGTTCCTAGGTGGACACTCAACCCTGAGCCACGCCGGTTGGGCACGTTCCCTTCTTTCAGCGGCCAGTGCACAGCCCGTGGTTCTTGCCCCGTCCCCTGACCTGGGTTAGGCTTTGGCCAGGGCCAGGGCTCTCAGCATTGCTGAGCAGTAGCCGTTTCTGATGTCCCCAGCTTCCTCTTTCTGAGGCTCCTTGTCCACAGCCCGAGAAAGAGGAACGCGCCTCTTCCAACTCCCAGCCGCACCTGCAGGCAGCAGGGTGACGCTAGCAGGGCCGAGGATGTGGGCACAGCCTTCAGAGCTCCAGGGCCTCAGGGAGGGGCACTGGGTGACTGCGGAGCGGGACCGGCCTGCTCCCGTGGCCTAGTCCAGCCTGGCCCTCTGACCTCTGTGCATCCCCGGCTCGGCCCCCCTGGCGCAAGGTTCCCTCTTTTGCAGCACAGAGAACCTTTCAAGAAAAGGTGGTTTGCCCTGGACCCCCAGGAACGGAGGCTGCTCTATTACAAGAACCCACTGGTAAGAACCACTGCCAGCCCCGCCCCAGGTCGCCTGAGAGGGAGGTGGGGTCAGTGCTGGTGGGGAGGCTGCAGGCTGGAGCCACCTGGCCAGGTCATAGCTCCATGTTGGCTTGTGTCTTAGTCATCTCTGCATGAAGCTGCCCCCACTTCCCCGCAGGAAGTCCCTTATGTGGATCCAAATGCTGCCGATGTAGGCAAATGGGGTGTTTTCCATCCTCTCGTCTCCAGGGCCCATGTGTGACCAGAAGGCTGGGAAGAGCAGTGATTAGGAGGGAGGGCCCTAGAACTCAGCTATCTGGGCTCCGGTTTCGGCCCTGCTACGTTTAGTGGTGTCCCTGGACAGAGTACTTAGCTCTCCGTGCCTCAGTTTCCTCCTCCGGAAAAAGGCTTAATAGCAGTGCCTTCCTGAGAGGTTGCCATGAGGATTGCATGAGGCACCATCTGTAAAGCACTGGCATTCTTGGGGCTTAGTTAGCTCTCCATAAATACTAAGTATCATCTTCTAAAAAAATTAATCTTCTTAAAGACGTTTAAAAAAATTGATTTTAGCCGAAACCGGTTTGGCTCAGTGGATAGAGCGTCGGCCTGCGGACTGAAGGGTCCCAGGTTCGATTCCGGTCAAGGGCATGTACCTGGGTTGCGGGCACATCCCCAGTGGGAGATGTGCAGGAGGCGGCTGATCGATGTTTCTCTCTCATCGATGTTTCTAACTCTCTATCTCTCTCCCTTCCTCTCTGTAAAAAATCAATAAAATATATTTAAAAAAAAAAAAAAAAAAAAAAAAAAAAAAAAATTGATTTTAGAGAAAGAGGAAGGGGTAGTGGGGAGAGAGAGAGTGAGAGGAGAGAAACATCGATTTGTCCCACTTATTTATGCATTCTTGTCTGTGCCCTGACTGGGGATCAAACCCGGAACCTTGGTGTATCAGGACAATGCTCTAACCAGCTGAGCGATACTAAATACCATCTGAACAGATGATGTGTGTGATTTCTCTTACAGTTTCAGCCTTTCAGATTCTGGGTCCCACCTCGCCAAAGTTCCCAGTAGAGACCTGCCCACCACCTCTTTCTAAAATAGAGTTTGGGGGCCGTCGCGGCTGCAGGGGCCCCTGTGCCCCAGGTGTGACCTCTGATGACCCGGTGGCCTCTATTTCCAGGACGCCTTTGACCTGGGCCAGGTGTTTCTCGGGAGCCGGGAGCAGGGGTACGAGGTGTCCGAAGGCCTGCCCAAGAACGTCCAAGGAAACCGCTGGAAAGCGGGCCTCACCATCGTCACCCCTGAGCGCAGGTTCCTCTTCACCTGCCCCAGCGAGAAGGAGCAGGGCGAGTGGCTGGAGAGTTTCCGGGATGTGCTCTCCCGTCCCTTGACATCCTTCAACCTCCTCAGTAAGACGCAGGGCCTGGGATTGTGCTTTTGGCCAAAGGCAGTGGGCAGACAGCGGCTTCTTCACGTGGGTCGGCTCTGAGCCCTGAGACCGGGGTCATGGCTCCTGACTTTGCCTGTTCTATTCTCTTCCTGCCAAAGAAAAGAACAGACAGGGGCCATGATTCCCAGCAGCCCTCTCTGTCCACGCTAAGGTCCTCCTCCAGGCGCTCTTCCCCAGTAGCATCTGGAGTTTGTCCTGGCAGAACCCGGTTAGATTCCCTTCTCGCCTGTGCTGAGTCCAGGGGCCCTGCAGCCTCCCTCTCTCTTCCTCCAGCTCCCTTCCCTAAGTCCCTTTCCTCGTGAGAAAAGCCTGGCCTGTTACTATCAGCGAAGGTCACACCCTGGGGCAGCTCCCAGGGTTCTCTTTATTTTTTTGTTTTTATTTATTGAGGAGAGAGAGAGAGAGAGAGAGAGAGAGAGAGGGAAGCATCCATTTGTTGTTCCATGTATTCATGCATTCATAGGTTGATTCTTATTTGTGCCCTCACTGGGGATCGAACCCGCAACCTTGGCATATTGGGATGACACGCTAACCAGCTGAGCCACCCGGCCAGGGCCCAGCTCCCAGGATTTGGGATTCCTCCCCACTCACAGAGGGAAGGCTGTTTTTAGTGTCCTTTCCTCTGGGTCCTCCCTCCTGCCTGCCCTTCTCCTGCTCCCCCCTGCACCCCAGAGGTGTCACATGCAGGCTTCCCTGTCTGCCAACAGCCCTGTGAATAAAGGGGAGATGTTCTGAGCTAGAGCTGGGACCTTCTGGTCCAGGGCCTGGCTTCTGGGGCCCAAGGGGAAGTTCTGTGTTTGGAAAAGTACAGACTGAGAAAGTGACCCCATATGGCCCCTTGGGAGAAACCCTTGCGCCCTTTGAGTCTGACCAGTGTAAACAAACTCGCTTCACTTTCCAAACTCTCTGAGCGAAGTGCCCCTGAAACAGACGCAGAAGTGGCCGGGGAAGCACCTCAGGGGTGCTTTCTTGTCGCCGTGGCCTGTGCGTCTGAGTCTCTCTGTTTCTGTGTTTCTTACTCTCTGCTTTTCTCTTCTTCTCGGGGTGCCTGTCCCCTCTGTCTCTCACCTTTTTTTTTTTTTAATATATTTTTTATCGATTTCAGAGAGGAAGAGAGGGAAAGAGAGATAGAAACATCACTGATAAGAATCATTGATTGGCTGCCTCCTGCACGCCCCACACTGGGGATTGAGCCCACAACCTGGACATGTGCCCTTGACCGGAATCAAACCCAGGACCCTTCAGTCTGCAGGCCGATGCTCTATCCACTGAGCCAAACTGGCTAGGGTTCCAGACCTTTTTTAAATTCTGGTCCCCCCTGCCGTGCGCTGTTCCTTCCAGCCTGTAGGACTGCATGGACACGGCCACCCCCTCATCCCTCTTCTTTTCCCCTTGCAGCTGCATCAACAGAGAGTGGCCACAGCAGCAGGTGACCCGCTGGCTAAGGAACTGGCTGGCCACGGGCCATGGGAGCTCTTGGTGGGAAGGAGACGTTCTCAGCTCGGCCTTGGTTACCCAGCAGGAGTGCCCCGTAGTTGGCAGCCATCACTGGCAGTGAACTCTGCCAAGACTAAAGCTTTGGCCTTTACCCACCGGCTCCCTGGGCCTCACCACGGCCCAGTCTTAAAGTCCAGGACATCTCCAGTGAAGGCACTGCAATGGGAAGGCGCCCACAGCATCACTCAAGTGGCACGCTGGCCCCAAAACAGTTTAATCCGACTCAACCATGAGGAAATAGACATATCTATTCTGTAAAACAGCTGGTCTGGACTCCTCAGTGTCAACATCGTGACAGAGAGAGTGGTGTGCGAACTGTTCTAGTTACAGGCGACTAGAGAGCAACGCTAGGCAATGTGTTTTTCTTGATTGGATCCTGGATTTTAAAAAAACAGCACAAAGGACATAAATTTAAATATGGATGTGTATTAGCCAACAGTATTATAAGACTGTGATAATGATGTATTTGTGGAGGAGAATGCTCTTGTTCTTAGGGGATATGCATTGAAGTGGCCAGGAGTAAAATATAACAATTTTCAGTCTACAACTGACTCAGCAAAAAATAACTATGTGTACATGTATATGTAGAGTATTTACATATACACATATATGTGCTATATATATGGAAGAAGACAGGGAGCACACACACATATGTATACATATATACAGATATAGATACAGATATATATATACACACACACACACACACACACACACATATATATATATATATACACACACTATATCTAACCTGGCAGAACTCGGTTAGATCCCCTTCTCGCCTGTGCTGAGTCCAGGGGCCCAGCAGCCTCCCTCTCTCTTCCTCTAGCTCCCTTCCCTAAGTCCCTTTCTTCGGGAGAAAAGCCTGGCCTGTTACTATCAGTTCCTCATGTTGTGGTGACCGCCAACCATAAAATTATTTTTGTTGCTACTTCATAACTCTAATTTTGCTACTGTTATGAATCGTAATATAAATATATCTGGGGAGAGAGACAGAGCTGCTATGTAAAATGTTAGCAACTGATGAATCTAGATCAGCATTTTTCAACCTTTTTAATCTTTTGACACACATACACTAATTACTAAAATTCTGTGACACACCAAAACATAGATTATTCTTTTTGTCCCAGCTGGTGTGGCTCAGTTGGTTAGACATCATCATGGGCACTGAGAAGTTGCCAGTTCAATTCCCAGTCAGGGCACGTGCCTGGGTTGTAGGCTTGATCCCCAGTAGGGGGTGTGCAGAAGGTAGTGGTTCGATGTTTCACTCTCACATCAATGTTTCTCTCCCTCTCCCTTCCTCTCTCTCTCTCTCTCTCTCTCTCTCTCTCTCTCTCTCTCTCAAAAAATATAAAAAAAACCCTTACATATTATTCTTTTTACTGATCTGACCAAAACAAGGTATAATTTTGATTCATTCACATCAGACGACTATTACTGTGTTGGCTGTTGTCATTTTTTTTTATTTGACTATCTAAGGGAAAAGAGGTCAGTGCCCCTGACCAAATAGTCAGGTATTACATGTTTAAAAATTTTTTTTGCAGCACCTGTGTTGAAAGTTGCTGATGTAGATGAAGTATAGATAGGTTTGTATTGCCCTGTTCATGCAAACTTTCTATAGATTTGAGTGTTTAGCCCAGCCAGTGTGCCTCAGTGGTTGAGCATTGAGCCATGAATCAAGAAGTCACCAGATTCCCATATTTCTCTCTCATCAATGTTTTTATCTGTCTATCCCCCTCCTTTCCTCTCTCTCTAAAATCAATAAAACCATGTTCAAATTAAAAGCTTAGGGGAACATTTTTAAAAAATATGTTTTTATCGACTTTAGAGAGAGAGGAAGGGAGAGAGAGAAACATCAATTGGCTGCTTCCTACACATCCCCTACTGGGGATTCAGCAGGAAACCTGGGCATGTACCCTGACCGGAATCTAACCAACCCGGCAACCTTTTGGTATATGGAACGACACACAACGAAGTGGATGTTTTAAAACAAAACAAAAACCCACATCCACTGTTCACTGCTAAAAATAGTGTTTTCTCTTCAGGAATCAACAATGTTCCATCTTTGTGCACATTTTAGAAGACATAAAAGCCTAGATGTCCGCATTGCTCATCACAGCTCTGGAAGGAAAGAAGGCAGCCAGGCAGACAACTCCACCAGGAGCCCAGGGCAGGGAGCTATCAACCCACGTGTCAGGTCTCACTTCCCCACCTCTGTGCCCCAGTTTTTCCCATTCAAATGAGGAAATGGTACTAACTATTGAAATGCAATGGAAGCAACAAGTATTTCTGAGCCACCTCCGAGGTTCCGGGCTCTGTGCCAAGCCCTGGGCATAGGCAGGAGCCAGATGACGTGGTCCCTGCTGTCACCAATCGCAGGCTGCTGGAGGCCACCTTTCCACAGGGGAGGCCGAGGAAGAGGAAGGACAGGCCACTCTGGGAGCACGTGGCAATAGGGTTGGTTTCCCCTAACTGAGGGGGAGTGGGGAGCCTCCTCCTGCTCCAAGAAGTGATGTTGAAGTTGAAACCTTAAGGCTCTTGAGAGGTGAGTCAAAAGGACGAGGGTGAGGAAAACCCTCTAGGCCAGTGGTTCTCAACCTTCCCAATGCCGCGACCCTTTAATACAGTTCCTCATGTTGTGGTGACCCCCAACCATAAAATTATTTTTGTTGCTACTTCATAACTGTAATTTTGCTACTGTTATGAATCGTAATATAAATATCTGATATGCAAGAGGTATTTTCATTGTTACAAATTGAACATAATTAAAGCATCGTGATTAATCACAAAAACAATATGTAATTATATATGTGTTTTCCAATGGTCTTAGGTGACCCCTGTGAAAGGGTCGTTCGACCCCCAAAGGGCTTGCGACCCACAGGTTGAGAACCGCTGCTCTAGGCTGAGGCAAGACAATGTTCCAAGACCGGAAGAGGGGAAAGAGAACTGAAAGAAAGCTGGAATGGCTGAAGTGAGGCTGAAGTCGACCACCAAGGTCTCTGCTTTACGATTTGTCCCTCCAAGGGATGTGTATGACACTGGGTGTTCCCTCTTTATTTTGGTGGAGACCTAGAGGGTTAGGAGGCTCTTAAAGAGATTTTCTGCTTTTTGTGTTATTTTTTGTTGGGGACCCCCCCTCCCCCCGTCAGAAGACAAGCAGCAGCATCAGGTGTCATTTCTGAGTCTTCCTGACGCCCAATAGGGCTGCTTCCTCCTCTGGTCCTAAAACACCTTGAAAACGCCGGTTTCAATACCTGCTGGGTTGTATGTTAAGGGTCAGGTTACTTGTCTGCCTTTCCCCCCCATCTCCTGTAAGCTCTGTTGATTGTATTCTGCTAAGTTCTGAGGATGGAAAAATAAAGGCACAGTTCTGCCCTCAAGGAACCTACAGTTTAGAGGAGGAAGAAAGAGAAATAGAGAGTAACAAGCTACTTGAGAGAAATGTGGGTTCTTAGAAGCCCCTCAGAAGGGCAGAGAACAGACACAAGGGATGGAGATAAAGTCCCAATGAAATGGAGTGCCTGGTTTTAGTTGGTCTCGAAGGCCTGGCTGGATCTCGGTCATTGGATTCCCCGACGACTCCTCTGTACTCTTACATTAAATCCTCTTCTCCCTTTTGACTTGTTAGAACAAGGAAGTTTCTTTTACTTGAGTCAGTCCTGCTGAATGAAGAGGTATATTTATGCTGAGTCCTAAAGAATGAATAGAAGATTCTTGGGTTAGGGTGGGGGAGGAGGAAAAAGAAGTGTGTACAAAGGCCCACAGATAAGAGAGAACATGGCCTGTTCTGGAAACTTCAAATGGTCAACTATGGCTGGAGCACAGGTCGTTGGGAAGGGAAGGAGTGAGAACAGGTTAGGCTGGAGCAGGGTCTGCTTCCCGGTGGTGGAGTAGCTAATTCAGAACAACCATTCCACAGGTGACAATTAGAAACTCTGTACAGACTATGACAAAGCAATGATCCGAAGGCCCTGGAAAATAACCCGAAGCTGGATGAAACTGAGAGAAGTGGCCACTAGAAAGCAAAGGTGCGTTTTTCATTGTTTCGATGTTCACTTAAGGGCAGGCCCCTGTGAGTGCCTCAGAGGGTCACTAAAACTCTGATGGAAACCTGCCGTCTCACTGATTGAAAAATAGAGGACAGAGTTTATGGTTGCTCAGAGGTCAACTATTCATCTGTCAGGGTAGGCTAGGTTCTGCTGCAGCAACGAGCACCCACTAAACCTCAGTTAACATATCCCGAGTTTATTTCTCTCCTTTACTCCATGTCCTAGTGTGGGTTGGCAGGGTGTCTGCTCATCTTAGCCACTTAGAGACTCAGGCCACCACATGCGGCTTCATATCCATGTCAGGGCAGCTGGCAGAAAGAGATTACAATGATACTCACTAGCTTTTTAAGCTGATGGGAAGTTAAGTAGTATTTCTGTGTTTTTCAGGTGGGCCAGGGAAGTGCCAATCCTACCAGGTACCCAGAAAGGGAAAGAGTTGGAAACTTTGATGAGCAGCACTAAAAGATATGCTTTATTGACTACTACTTGCAATTTCCAGTATTGGAAATGTAAGGACAGAAAAGTGGGCCTTTCTTTTTTTCTTTTTCTTTTTCTTTTTTTTTTTGCTGTAGCCTTCTACAATTTATGAGAAGCACCTAGTTCTTAAATCCCAAGATTGTTAGCTCCTCTGATTCAAACAGCCCCTCTGTTCAAACTGCAAGATGAGATAAGTTATGCTCAAGGCTACATTTTTGCATACTCCTCCTCCCAGCTATTTTTACAACTGGGGGATAATTTGCATCAAGAAGTCTCTAGTTAGTAGAAAGTTCCCCCCTATGCCACCCTCTTCAAACAAGCCTCTTTTGAACTCTTCATAACTTTTACATGTTTTCCAGGCTCAGAAAAATACTGATAAGACACCTCTTTAGAACAGCTGCCTAGACTATCTCCTAAAAAAAGCAAACAAACTTTTCAAAGTTCGTTTAATTTATCTGCTTAATTTCAGCCCCCAAATCCTCTTTCCTTTCTTATCGCCTAGCAACTGTAGCCAAGGCTTTAAAAGGGGGAGCCACTTTCTGTTTCTTGCCTTGTATTGAATAGCAATGCACTGGCCCTTTCCCTTCAGGGAAAGTAAACTTTCTGTCTGCATCTCTCTTGACGCTCAGTATGAATTCTTTCACCCTCCCGCCACCCCCGCCCCAAACCAACAAACCAAAACACACCAACAGGAAATAGCCACAAACTTGTATTATCTGGTACCAACTTTGAGACCATGTAAGACGGGGGTAAAGTATAAGACAGTATTAGTTCATTTCAACAGATCAGAGGGAGGTGGGTTCTGGTCTCTGCCACTCAGTTATTGCTATGCAAGCCTGGAAGTTCTTTTGCCTCTGGGTCTTTGGAGAGGATTTGATGCTCTTCCAGCTCCAACGTTTTCTGGTTGCAATTCGCTTAGGACTGGAATAAGAGAGGAGGAAAAAAGCAAGCCCCACTGGAACCAGGTGTGCAAGCTGCAAGAAAACAGACTTTCTAGTGCTTTCACCAGGATGCCTGTTGGGTAATGTGCTTCCAGCCAGCAGAGGGCAGTAAGGAGGCAGCGGCACAATCCTGCCTTGTACTAGGGATTTTTTTTCTTTTTTGTTTTTAATTTTGTGTGTGTGTGTGTACTAGGGATTTTTAAATTCTAGGCTAACTCAGCTTTGCAAGTTTGACTCATCGTGTGTGTGTGTGTTTAAAATACCAGTGCCGGGGCTCCATATCGGGACAATGAAATCAGACTCTCTGGGAGGGAGCCCGAACACTG